TTTATTTATTAAATGTGTAACAAAACATCGCAAAACGACCGTCATGGACGTCCCTCGGGCTTTAAGATCTGTTTATTACGTTCTGTGATAACTGATTATGAACCTTATTACGAGAGAATAGGGTGTATTTTTGTACTGGAAACATGGCTTAGGAGACGAAATTAGCATAATACTCGTTTATAGACGAACGACTTCGGATGTCCATATTAAATGTAACGGCCTGAAAGTAATAATTATGGAAATGTTCTGATGTCACTTTATGATTCTTATCGTAATTGAACTAACTCCTAGCTTTCACTAAGTATTTTTAGTTTGAGATCATTTTCTATACATATGATAAAATTCTAACTGAGTCGCATCTGTACATAAACTATTTTTTGGAAAATCTTATTGAAATAGTCATTATTATCGATACAGAGGCCGAATTTATAATTTTTAGAATTTAAATCTGTCTGTTTGGGACTACCTCACGAGAAAACCACTGGACAGATTTTGATGAAATTTAGTATGATGATAACTGGTCATCCGGGTAACTATAAACCGGACGTTTCCTCAATAGGTCTCCCATTCGTGACGAATAATATAAGATACTTTTTACTGCGGAAAAATATCTCATCTCTGAGAAATCTATACTAAACTTTAAAACGTAACTAGGGACTAACCCGAGCTGAGCGAGGGTGAGTTGCTAGTCTAAAATTAATTGCAAATTGCGATGAATAATAAAAAAAAGATCAAAAGGTTTTCTACGAGGAAATGAGTTTATTAGGCAAAAAAAATGTTTTTAAATAGGTACTAGAATGTTCTTTATATATAAAAAGGGCGGCAGTGTATCGAGAGATCAGTTGAAGTTTGGAACTGATAGAAGATTTGTAAGGGTTAGTCTTAAATATTTGGTCAACTCGACCGGGGAAGTACCGTCTTAAGAAATTTGACTGTAGTAGTAGCATTGATTAGAAGTACCTACTTACACGATGATATTTTAATTTTGAAGGCAGTGGTAGCCCCGTCGTAACGCACTCGCCTGAGAAACTGAGTGAAGCGGGTCCAAATCCCGGGTCTCGCACTTCTGATATTTTCATGTGCGAATCATTTCCAACATGAATACCACTTGCCTTACGGTGAAGGAAAACATCGTGAGGAAATCTGCATGTCTGAGAGAACCTAGCAAGTTGACATGCTCAATCCGTCCGCACTTGGCCAGCGTGGTGGACTATGCCCTGAGCCTCGTATTGCAGGAAGGCCCACTCCCAGCAGTGGGACGTTAAAAAGGGCTAAATACATTTGACTCTACTCCTTATGTATTAATTTGATTTTAATTTACGTTTAACATATCCATATTTCTTTATTACATTGGTTAAATCGTTAACGAGCTGTTTATTAATTATTTAATGGGTAGACAATAAAAGAAATGAGAAAATATATAAATCTTATTTATTTACGACTTCCAAAACAATTCATAATTGCCTTAACAATCAATAGTTCATAATGCTTAACCAAACTTTATTTAACTCCTCATTCAAAACACCATTTTTTACATAAAAAACTTAAAAAACAAATTTAGGAAGAAAAATGTGACATCTAAATATATTCAAATAATACTAACATCTTCTGGAATAAACAGAGAAGATTTCTATTTACTACTCTCTAAACTCAATTCAATTCTCTTGGTAATGGCTTCAAAGCGTGCCAGTTGTGTACTTCGCCAATGTCACGTGGAAGAAATTCTAATTATTATCAATCCCATTTTTGACATGTTTGTGGCATTAACAGCCTCCGGTCATTTCTATATTTTTTTTAAATTAACCCAAACATAAAATGGAAAAATTATTTCACATAGAAAGATTCTTAGAAATAGAGATTTTAGGTGTTAATACAGATTTCTCTTATTTTGAATTCCAAGCTCAAGATTTATTGTAGAAGAAGATGACGCTTTACACCTTTTCTATTTACTCCACAAGATACATACATATATACATACAAATCTTATTGTTTGAGATCTATAATTTTCTTAAAAATAAATAATATATAATTTTTTCTATACAATTTTGACTTTCCATAAAAACATTTACAATTCCATTATACCAAAAATTTGGAGTTTTTTTTAAATAAGCGTAGTCTAATAATAATAAACAGATTAAATAACAAAAACTACTTTATAAGGAATACGAATCACAGATAAATAATTCAATTTATACTTAAAAGCTAAAAAAGTTATAAATATTTCCCATAGTCTCGAAATCGCTAATACAATTATTATTGACTTGAATTTTTCGCAATTTTATTATTATTAAGACGTTATAACAGAATTTATTGGCATATACTGGATATATAATCGAATGGCCGTATAAAAATGAACAATAAATCGCTATCCAAATTTTTTTTTAAGGAATTTTTTTTCAACAACGAGGCTTGTGTTATGGATACCAGATAGTTGATATACTGCACATACAAAACTTTAAATACATACACATTATAAATACAAAACACCCATGACTAGAGTACAAACATTCGTGCTCATCACACAAATAAATGACCCTAGCGGGATTCAAACCGCTGGCACAGCAAATAGAGTAACTGCAAACTGAGCCAAACGCGTCGTCAATAGATACACATCAAAATCGGTCCTGCTATTATATGATATCCAGTAATATTACAATTTTCCCATTCATACTCTATACATCTAAAATCCACTGTATATTTTGTATTTTTGTCACAACTTTTTGTCTGTAATTTTTTTCAGTCCGAAACAACCTTGTTTTTGTTAACGTTTAATTATTTCTTTGTTTAGATTATATATTGTCATTAGAGGTCAGTCGTCGACACGTGCTTTTTGTAAGGTTTGCTAAAATACAAAATAATTTGAAAAGCCCCGTTTATATCGGCAAGATTTTAAACAATAACAAAAAAATAATAATAATACACCAACTCCACGGTATAAGCTTGAGAATCAGTCAGAAGAAAGACGTGACTATACAAAGGAAAATTTATTTATAATACTTTCTTAGATGTACGCGAATGTTTGATATTAAATAAAATTATATTTTCCGATTATTTCATAGTTTTATTTATATTTTAAGTCTTTCTTGTTGACATGTTTGCTGTAAAACTTTAGAAAGGGCAGAAACAAAAATAAATGAGTGCGTGTAACCTTTATGCGCGGTTGCAGTGAGTTGTTTGGCGCTGTGACAGATACCGCAATTAAATTAAACAAATCAAAATATAAATACAATAATTTTTAGAAAATTATTAGTAATAAATATACATCTTTATAAATAATAATTATTATAAAATATAAATGTATATATTTTTTTTGATTATTAATAATAAATTTAACTGTTACTTCCGCTCCACTCATTTTTCCAATTTATTGACTTACCCATCAGTCACGTCTTAACAAGTTTCACTTCAAAAACCAAACTCAAATAAAACCGTGAAATAACCGAAAATAAACCAAAACATCCAAAAAAAATATGCACCAATTTCCAAGTTTTTCAACCAAATTTAGATGAAATCTCTAATATTGAGTAGTAAATATAGTAAAGTTTTCAATTAACTTTATGGTATTATATTAGGTACAAAATATGTTAAGAATGTTCGCAGATCACGTTATAATAAATATATAAAATAATTAATAATAATTTTATATAAAAAACGGTAATATTAAGGGTGAAACGCGGTTTTATATCTAAAAACTCTTTAAAACAAGTTAGAAAATGATAAATTATATAACAGCTTAGACCTAACTATGCCTAGAATAAGATTATTTTCGCACTTTCTTTTTATAGTTATCATAAGGTAATACTAGCATATACTGCTACTTTGCCTGCGTAGATTAAAAATATCAGATTTTCATACAAACCAACCCTTTGTTATCTCCTTAGGGGTTGAATTTCCAAATATCCTTTCTAAATGGATATCCACTCCTTCTCTACGCTTTTTTTGAGATTTCATTATTAATCATTGAGCTTTCGTTTTTATATTTACGCGAGCGAGAGTACGTTTTGGATATATAAAAATACTTTAGGAGACTTTTTTGTAGACTATTTAAGACATACAATTGTTTTGAATACATCAAACAAATACATATAAAATATAACAAATATCTCTTACGGTTTTGTTAGTGATATTATAAGGACTCGACAGAACCAGTTATTGTGTTTTTCCGAAGGAATGAGAGATTTGCCTGTAGTAAAAGGTATCCTAAATGTTGAGCCGAGTTATAAGTTAAAATCCGTTCAGTCTATTTTGCTTGAGAATTTACAAGACATACAGACAAACAGAAAAAAAATTCCACATCTATTATTTTGGAGTCTATATTCTATAGGTACACATTGGTTAAAAAAAAACATTTCAAGTACAGATTTCGCATTGTTACTATTTTATTATATGTATGTATAGATATAGAAGATTTCGAACCCTGTAAAAATGTAGCCTACAACCGTTTTTTAAATATATTTTTCTCTTTTAAAGGATCATTTGAAAATTTACAATAATTTCTAAAATAGATTAATTAATATTAAAAATACATTTAAATTGTGATAGTTAACTGAAGAAATAAAAAAAAGTATCAAAGTCTTCAGATATTGCCTTAATAACATATTAATATAACCTAATAACAATATCTCACCGCTTCTCAAACCTTACTTAATGTTTTTTCCTATCTATCAGTACAAATACGAGACAAGACGTGACTTTCTACAATAGATATCTATAATAGAAAACTAATATGTAAGCGACATTCTGAATATTGATATAATCATAATTTCTTAGATTTACGCGAATATTTTGTCTTTTTTTGTAATTTTTGGTTACCGACATTTAAAATGCTTTACAGCAATCATTGACGAGAGAGACTAAATTTTGAGATTACCTTTGAGACGTCTAAAGCCATTATTATATGACGTTTCCATATATATTTTAGTTTTCTATTAGCGATAGCATTTGTAGAATATCATTAATAACTTTATTCTCAGCCTTATTCTATTTTCATATATATATTATAAGTTCTTTCCATCGTACAATCCAGTCATATCCAAACTATCGTCTGACAGATCGTTTCTTTCAAAGGCGACTTGCCCTTTGTCTTCTCGAAGGGTTTTCTCTAATATCCTCTCTAGTTTTGGTTGAATATCTCCAAGTAAAGCTCTTTGCGAGGGTTCGGAGGCCCAACACGACTCCATTACTTCCCAACATTCGTCGCTAAACTGCGGAAGACGCTCGGGGCGTAGCCCTATAAATATTGCATAGGTAAAATAACTCGTATATGTATATACATTTTTACATTTATGTATAATTTTTGTTTATTGGTAGAGTTTGTATTTAGTTTAAAGAAAAGTGAGATTAGATGAAAAAATATTACTGATCAGCCAAGGTCAACTTTATATGTAAAATAATATACATACATATGTAAAAAGGTACGTAACTGATTTCCAATTAATTTTAATTAATAATTTCATTATCTTCTCATATTTTTTTCATTTAATAATCTTTATAATTAACTTTTTGAATGCAACGTTTAAAAATATTTCTTGAACCAATTTCAAGTGATATATACAAACCTTTTTTAACTTTGCTCCAAAGCTGTTCCTTATTCTGGAACGTTTCAAATGCGGACGGAAGCTTGATGTGCCCTGCACATAAGTACCTGAAAACATACGTCTTTGATATCGAGTTGGTTTTTTGAAATTATAAGCAGAGTTTAAAATTAATTTTGTTTTAAATTAATCAATAAATATTATTTAAGGCGTATTCATATAAAATATAACTAGTGAGAATTGAATAAGACTTCTAAACAATACTTAAGACTATCTGTGAAACTTTGAAATTTGCAAAATTGCTTAAGCCGTTAAAGATTTGTTAGTTTAGAACAAGTATTTATAACTCGGAGTAAACATATAGGCTACCGTTATCTAAGGATAAAGGGTAGGGATAAGCCACCAGATCCCTCACCAGAACAGTATCCCGAATGCGTACACGTCGACGGCGGCGTGGTACCGGCCGGCCAGCAGCTCGGGCGCCATGTGCACGGGCGTGCCCACCAGCGACCCCGACACCAGCGCCGCCGCCGCGCAGAACCCCAGGTCCGACAGCGCAGCACGATCCTGCTCATCCAGCAGGACATTCTTCAGCTTTATGTCCCGGTGCACCAGCCCCAGGGAGTGGAGGTAGCGGATACCTGGTTGTATCAATTGTATGAGACTAAGCGCAATGGGAGAAAAGGGAAGAAATATAATACATTTTACACTAATATGTTACTCTTCGTTCCCAGAACATATCTCCTTTAAACCGAGCCCACACTCATGTTTCACAAGCCACCTAGATACGTTATCTTGTATTCTCATCCTCAGAACAAATCCGCTTCACCCCAAACCAGCCAACTCACCCTCTACGATATCGCAGGCGACCTGCATGCGCCGCGCACGCGACAGGCCGAGGCGCACGGCGGCGTGCAGGTCGCGCGCGCGGCGCTCCGACACCAGCAGCACGCCGGGCGCGCCGCCGCCGCCGCTGCGCTGCACCAGCGACCCCAGCAGCCGCACGATACGCGGGTGCGGGGGGATACTCCTAGAGAGATACTTAGGATTTAGTATTCACCCCTTTTTAAAGGCCCACAGATGGGCACGGACCTCCCTTCTATGATCGAGCTACATCCACCACGTTGGCCATGTGCGGGCGGACTGAACTTTCCAAAACTTAGATTTTCTCAAAATCATGGTAATCATGTTGGAAATGATTCGCACGTGAAAATATCAGAGATGTGAGACCCGAGATTTGAACCCGCTTCACTCGGTTTCTCAAGCGTCTAAAATAACTCTCAGATAACGACCATCTAAAAACACTTCATCTACACATACCTAAAGTAAAACGAATAACTTGTATATGCGGCCATGTTGCTAGCTCAATATGAACTGTGTGAACTAATCCTAACTAAATAAAATTACCATGTCTCCCAGTGTATGAAAGATCGCCTCACAGCAAATGCTAATGTAAAGTTAATCGAAAATATCAATTTGAGACTTGGGAGGGGTCACATGTAATAAGTAAAAAAAGGTCGCAGGATGCACTTGACGTGTCACTTGGCTGTGACTTATAAACACATGGTAAAAACTAACCAAGCAAGACATGATTTTAATTAAATATAACAATAATAATTAATTATATATAGACATTTTATTTACTGATATATTACATAAAATTACAAAAAATAATCAAAAAAAATATCTTAATACACGTATATACTAGTTTCTTCTACCTAGCTAAATTTGAAGAAGAGAACGAGAAAGAGAGCAAGAGATACAGAGAGATAGAGAGAGGGATATAATACCTGGTGTAGAAGAACTCCATGGCGAGCTCGTGGTAGTGGCGCTCGTCGGCCGGCAGCACGGACTTGACGGCGGCGGCACGGCGGCCACCCCACGCGCCGCGCGCCGCGTACACCACGCCGTACTGCCCGCGCCCTGCACACAGACATACACACAGAGTGAAATCAAACTTTATCCAATTAGACTTAATACATTCCTAGATTTACGCGAATATTTGTCATTTTAAATGCCCGCGCCCTGAACACAGACATACACACACGGGGATCAATACGATGGGACACTCACGTCGGGTTTGAAGTCAAGTGAAATTAAACTTTGTTCAATTAGACTTAATACTTTCTTAGATTTACACGAATATGTTTGCTTGTCCCTCTTACACGTCGAAACAGGGTACGGATTGGTTTTTTGATTGATTGATTTTTTGTATAGAAATAGTTGGGGACTGGAAAGTGACAAACACTACTTTTTACCGCGGGAGATTATCTCATTTCCACGAGAAAACGTGTTATAATACAACCCACAACAACTCACCATAAATATATGATATATGTTAGCAGACCCGGCCACGCATTGCTGTAGCACACATATGAAAATCGTTAATTTTGTAATAAAAAATAATCGGCATGAAAAATAACATATCTTTTAAGTTGAAACAAATCACACATTTTGAAAAAAAAATACTTTAAGATCAGATAAATAGTTTTGGAATTCATCACGGACCAACATCATGATACGGGAATTTCGTATATTAAGATATATAAGATATAGTCGACCAGTCATTCAGTTAGTCAGGAGAGGTCAGTCCCTCCCGTGACCACGTAAACTGTAAATCATTCAAAACGTCTGGAACTAAAAATCAAAATATACTCACGAATAAATCCGAAAATATGGTTTTATTTATATTAGTCAAATATTCGCGTAAATCTAAGTATTAAAATCAATATCCATTACCTATCTCTCGGCCCAACTCCGGCGTCCCATACATGAGGAGGTCGCACATCGACGTACTCTCTAGACAGAGGCGCGCAAACGCCGGTGCATATCTGAAAACAAAATATTTTTAAGTCTTTATTTGTTATATTGCAATATATTTGTTATACTGACAAAAGCATAAACAATTTTTTTATATATATAAGAGACAAAAATAAGTAGTCTAGTACAATTATTGTTATTATATTTTAAATTAAATGAAAGTCGGCAGATTTTTTTATTATTGTGGTCTTACCACCATTGGAGAGACTATTACATTATAAAAGATCTTCTCATTAACTCATGGGAAACGATATTTTTTTCTACCTACCGACTTACCAACTTCGAGCTGCTACCAGTACTTAGTACTTCTTATCATAAAAAAATATCAAAACACATCAAAACAACTTATTATAAAAATATAATTAATGGCTGCCTTCAGAGCTGGCATCGGCTTTTTCACGGAGTTACACATTGATATTTAATTTAATTTTTAAAAACCTAAAAAGTGACGATTCAAAAGTGCTTGTAAAAGTCTATTTGAATAAAGTATATTTTGTTTGAATTCGACTAAACTTGATCCGACTTAGGATTTTATGGTCTGCATCTGTTCAAGGTAGCCATTGAGTTTAGACTAACGAAACAGTTTATAGAACACCGTAATATTTTTTTTACAAAGCATTCTTTCCAACTTTGCTACAGAGCCTTCTAAATATCTGTACCCAACAAACAAAATAAATCGGCGAAAAATACGAAAAAATAGTTTTATTTGGAATAGAAGCATATTTAATATGACATAATATATTGTATGTATGTATGTCTTGTATTTAGCCCTTTGTAACGTCGCACTTCTGGGCACGGCATTCCCTTCAGTACAAGGGAGATCAAGTCACAGTCCACCACGCTGACCAACGTTGCAGATATCAACGCCTGCCTCCGTACAATGTTCTTATAATATTCTATGTATTACATAAAAACTAAAAAAGAATAATAAGATGACGATGACGTGAGAGTGTATGCGCGTGTGTGTACTTATGTGTGTGTGTGTGTGTGTGTATGTTTGCATGTGTAAATGAGAATTAGTGAATACTTCTTGCGTATGGCGAGCTTGACGTCCTCGGTGTGGTGAAGGCGGCCCGCCAGCGCGGCCTCCAGCGCGCCCAACGCCGACTGGTAGCGCTCGTGCGCCGTGCCCAGCCGCTCCAGTATCTGTGCGGGGACGGGGGTTTATTTATTTTATTAGGATAACCAAAAAATTTACATTCATACATTTATAAATCAAAGATAAATGTACTTTTGTTTACAGGTTATCACATCATGCAATAAATTAAAAAAAAACATCATTAGTTCCTAAAATAAGTCGTATAAGATCAAATACATAAAAATCATAATAAACAAGTTCAATAAAGTAATAAAATCATAATCAAATAAATAAAAAATAAATTAACTATAAAATTCATTAAAAGTTATATATATTTTTTACTGTTAATTAATGGTTTTTTTGATGGATGCCGAAATGGAAAAAGTATTTTAAATGAAACTATTTATTTGGATTTTTTCTCGGATTTATTTTGATTTTTAGTTCTCGATCAAGGTTATAAAGAATATTAAAATAACACAAACTATTATTCGTTTTTTAATAATAATAGCTTGCTTATTGTAATTGATGTCATTGAAAAATGATAAATATTCTCATAAATTTTAGAACGTATATCTCTTTTAATTTTTTTTTTACATAAAATTAAAAACAATTTCAACACAATCCTTTACATGAAGAAAAATAAGACAACAAAATATACATCCGCGTAACATCGATCAAAAAAATGCTAGACACACAATTCCATCCAATAGTTATCTTAAAACTGTCACCAATCGTGTTTAGGTAACTATTTTAGTTGAAATAACTATACAACAATGTAAAATGGACTTTAAATGCAATACTTAAAGTTGGTTTCACAAAAAGAAAATTAAAAGCGCCATCAAATGTTCAAATGACCATTCATACGGTGAGGGCATTTTTTGTCGCTGATTGTATATCTAGTACTTTTTAGATCGATGCAGTGTAATATAAAAGAGCAGAAGAGAAGTTGTGACCTGCAGTGAGATGAGCCTGGCGAGGCGCGGCGGCGACAGCGAGTGCGCGGCCGCCAGCGCCGCGCGCCGCCGCCACGCCGGCGCCAGCGCACAGCACGCGCCCGCCGCGCCGCGCGACAGCCGCAGCCTGCGGGAGACGCATTCATTGTTCTGTATTTATTTTTGTTCTTGTCTAAAAAGGTATGTTTCATACAAACTTTCATGCCCTATTTTACCCCCTTATGGGATTAATTTCGAAAAAGGCTACAACACGTATTTATTTATTTAACATTAATACTAAGTTTCAAGTAATTCTGATCACAAATATTTTTTGGGTTGTATTATAACGTGTTTTCCCGTGGAAATTAGATAATCTCCCGCGGTAAAAATTACACTATGTCACTCATTAGCTCTTCAACTATCTCGACACAAAAAATCACGCAAATCCATTATTCCGTTTCGACGTGATAAAAAAACGTACCTATAGAAGAGCCTCCTCAAGGAGTCGAGCAGGTCGGCCAGCAGCGAGCACTCGGCGCAGGGCGTGAGGTCGACGTGCCGCGCCACGGACAGCAGCTGGCGCACGGCCTCGCTGGCGGGCCGCCCGCCCAGCTCGCGCCGGCACGACCCCTCCAGCGACTCCAGGCATCTGCCGCCACGCGATACGAACATCTTGCTTATTGTTTTCAATAAATATGTTGGGACATTAATTACACACAGCACCATCTAGTTCCATGGTAAGCTACGAGGCTTGTGTTATAGATCCGACCAGATAGTTGATACACTACACATATATAACTTTAAATACATACATATTATAAATATAAACACCCATGGCTGGAGTACAAGCATTTGTGCTCATCACACAAAAGAATACCCTCAGGGGAACTCGGACTCGCGAACGCTGACATAGCAAGTAGGGTTACTACAGACCGAGTCAAACCTGCAGCATAAAACAGATACAAACACACACACGCACACACACACACAAACACATGCACGCACTCACACGTACTCACGCGCAGCAGACACTTTCGCATTTATACATACATACTAGCGACACACCCTCGCTTCGCTCGGGTTCGTCCCTAGTTACGTTTAACGGTTAGTATGAAATAGAAATCTTTGAAGTTCTCGGTTATTCTTTACTATAATATCCATGTATTATACATATAAGCCTTTATCTTGAATCGTTCTATCTATTAAATAAAACCGCATCAAAATCCGTTGCGTAGTTTTAAAGATCTAAGCATACATAGGGACAGACAGAATTTGTTTTATACTATGTAGTGATTTTTACTACCTTAGGTACATCTACATAGCTGTGTACTAAATGTCATCCAAATATGTGCTGCCCTTTTAACGTAAGAGAGCAACGATCTCATACATTCAAAATTTTGCATTCATTACAGTAAGGCGGTGTATTACTATATAACAACATTTCTCGGTATTTTATTTATTTCATGTATAAAAACAAAAATATATATACAGCACTCTTTGAACCATTATTTAATCACATATCTATTTATACACCACAACCAAAAATACGTTTTTGAGTCTAAACTAACAATTAAATAATCAAATAATCACTTTGAAAATTTTGTTAAACAGTTGGATTTCTTTATAGCTTGTGAAGTTACACATCAATTTCAGAATTGAGTTGCGTCGATCTGATCAATCTGATCGATCGTTTAGGAACGCATAAAGGCCAAACATACGAACATTCATTTTTATCTATATATAAGACTTGTGACTCACCGTCGCTTCGCTCGGGTTCGTCCCAAGCTTGCTTCCCCATACAAATTTTACCCCCTCATGGGATGATTTCCGAGATAAAAACTATCTTCTTACCAAATTTCATTTAAATCGGTTTAGTACTTTCAGAGACTATTCAATACTAACTAGCAAAACAAAAACATTTTTTTGTCTCTATAATATTAGAATAGATCCATATATAAGATTATCCTTACCTTTGCAAAGTACCAAAATAGGAGTCCTTTAAACAATCCACGAACTTGACTAGCTTTAGACTGATTTTTCGACTCAATTTCGATAAAACTGTAAAAAAAAACATTCGTTATTTTTTTAAATTCAAAACAACTTTAAGATCCTTGATATTTTTTTTATTTAACGTCTTTTGAGTTCTTAAATTAATAAACATTTATTTATCAAAGAAAATTAAAATATAATTATACATATATAATATTGTGTACTATACAATTTAAAATTTAAATGTATTAAAAAGTAACAATCGAATGAAAAAATAGCATTTGCCATGAAAACTGGTAATTTTATCACTTTTGTGTTGAGGGAGTACACTGCTGCTTTTTAAATAAGAGCATCAAATTTTAGCTTTTGGCACTAAATTAGCAATAATTTTTAAGCAATTTTGCTCATTTTTCCATGCTTCCTTTAAAGACGTTTCACATTTATAAGAATGGATAGTGTGGACACCCTCACCGGTGCGCTGCACGTCCAGCGAGGCCTGGCGGCTAGAGACCGTGCGCGAGCAGCCGCCGGCGCTGCGCGCGACCGAGAGGGAGTATAGCTCCGTCTCGTTTTCTATGGGGATATTGGTGGAGTCTAATAATGGGGTTGTTTTTGACTGTGGAAGGGAGAATATTGCAAATTACAAAAAGAATCATCGCAATCCGATTTTTGGTAAAAGTTATGTATTAAGTGATACAGATTAGAGATAATCTGTTTGTTTTGTCGGGTAATAAAGTTAAATTTTCAAAATAAAATACTTTGATCGATCGTTAGAATTACTGATGAAAGAAACTCAGCGAGTTTTTGATATTTTCTTATTATATAAATTAATAATTTGCAAATTTTATTTAACCGTGAAAATATTTAAAAAAAACTTTGTATCTGTTTGTAATAATAACCTAATCTCCGAAACAATACTGAAGAACTTATAACTCTCGAAAGGAAAAAAAAAAGATTAATTTTGAGCTAAATTACTAAAAATTGAAAAATATTAATACTATTACGTAAATAAATCGTTATAAATTAACCAATGAACAGTTATACCTATTTTTAAAAATAGATATAAACAAATTAAACTAACAATAATTTATTATTATTATTAAAAAAAATTTTACAAGAAAAAAACACTCACTGTAAGCGGCTCAAACCCATCGCTATTGGTCATACTTTCTTCATTCGAATGAATTATCTCATAATCATCAAAATTGTAGCTCTCGTACGACTCCGCTTCTTCCACGTCGTCGGGGTCCGAGTCATTCGAGTCAACATTTTGATTCAGACTCAGTGAGATTGTTGGACTGCTTCGAGTTGAATAGAAGATTGAGTTGGACATAGAGAATCTCTTGTCTTGATGACAAGGGAGGTCTGGAAAAAAAACCAGCCAAGTGCGAGTCGGATAAGCACACAAAGGGTTCCGTACCATCGTACAATATATAACAGATTACGTTACGGTTAAAAAAATAAAATAATAATAATAATAATAAAAAAACAAATCTATCCGACGGGAATCGTAATTTTTTCGAACAAAAAAAGTAACCTATGTGCTTTTTCAGACTATAATCTATCTCTGTGCCAAATTTCATCCAGATTCATTCAGCCGTTCTGGCGTGATTGAGTAGTTTGAGTATATATAGTATATAGTTTGAGTAGATTGAGTAACAAACATCCATCCATCCAAATTTTCGCATTTATAATATTAACTAATTAATGGGATGGGATGTACTAAGCATTTCTTTTTTATTTGCATGAGCACATTTGGTTTTTTATTTTTTGTTGTTATAGCGGCAATAGAAATACACACACTGAAAACTTCAACTCTCTACCTATCACGGTTGATGAGATACTGCCGCTGACAGACAGACAGACGGATGGCGGAGGCTTATATTTAATACAGTTCCGTACCCGAAGGGTTCCAACGGGTTGATTTTAACCTAATTGGACAAAAGAGGAATTGTAAATTAACTAATCAAATTAGCGTGAAGAACACACTGTATACAATTGACACACGTAGAAACACACTTGTAGGCACAAATATATAGACATACTATTATATTTTTTATATATACATATAATATGGAAACTTGTAATTATATTATTTATAACGATTTTTGTTATGTTATGTTTTCGATAGCGAGTTTAAAGTCATTTAAAAAAGTGATAATAAAGAGTGAATATATATTATGTGCGTATAATAAAATTCTAATAGAGTCGAATCTGTACATTAAATATTTTTTTGAAAATCTTATTGAAATAGTCATTATTATCGATACAGAGGCCGAATCTATAGTTTTTAGAATTTTTGTCTGTCTGGGAACGCATCACAAAAAAACTACTGAACAGATTTTGATGAAATTTTGTATGATGATAGCTGATTATCCGGGTCTATTATATATAGGATACTTTTTACTGCGAGAAAATATGTCATTTCTTAGAGATATCTATACTAAATTCGCTAGTTAATAATAAATTATATTTACTTCTAAACTATTGGAAATTCCATAAATTATATTTTTTTACATACAACTGCATGCACAAAACATTTATTTTTTAAATAAAGCCATCCCATACCATCGACACTCCAGTCCATGTTGTTAATTTCAGATCTCATTTCCTCCAACACTTCCTGCATTATCTGTAGCAACTCTCTTTTCTTTTCACCTTGCGAGAATTTCTCGTTCATTGTCTATAGAAAGAAATAATATATAAAAAAATAACAGAAATAACTTATAGAAATATTCCGTTAGCCAAATACTGGCTAGCAAAAATAATATAATTTGTCTAATAATATCATATTGGGCATCTTTAAAATTAGATAAATTTACTAATTGTTTTAGTATTAATTTGTTACAAATATTCATCGATCAAAAAAGTACTGGACACGCAATCAGCGATAAAAAATGTCCTCACGGAATTAGCGCTCATTTGAACATTTGAGCGCGCTTTTAATGTTTTTTTTTTGTGAAAATAATTTTAAGCATTGCATTTAAGGTTCAATTTACATTGTTGTATATTTATTTCAACTAGAATAATTACCTTGACCTAAGACAACTTTCGCATACGATTGTGTATCTAGTACGTTTTTGCAAATATAACAAATAAATAAAATTGAAGTGTCTATTAATGTAACAGTCAATAATAGCAATTAAAAAAAAAATTTCTGTCTGTTTGACGTAAACTCCGAAACGGTAAGACCGATGTTGACGAGACTCTCACTGGCAGATAGCTGATGTTATAAAGAGTAACTTGGGTTACTTTTATTTAAGAAAAAGAATTAGTGTATCGCTTGAAAAATTAAAACTTAGCTAGGGACGTACCGGGCGAAGCGATGATAAGACGTTAGTAAGAAATAAAATCAAGCAAGTGCAAGTCTGAGCCAAAAACAAAAACATAATTTATTACTTCAACTGCAAAATAAAATATTTACCCAAATATTAATAAATTATACTTATGTAATCTATACTAATATTATAAAGAGGTAAAGTTTGGGAGTTTGTAAGATTGTGAGTTTGTAACGTTGTAGGGGGTAATTTCTGGATCTACTGAACCGATTTAGATGAAATTTGGTAAGAAGATAGTTTGAGACCCTGGAAAGGGCATATAATACGTTTTATCCCGGAAGTCATCCCTTAAGGGGGTGAAAATGGGGATAAAAGTTTGTATGGGCAATGAAGCTAAGGAGAACCCGAGCGAAGCGAGAGTGAGTCGCTAGTGTACCTATATATATATATATATATATATATATATATATATATATATATATATATATCACTTTAAGTGTTTTCTATGAAAGAAAAGAGTGAAAAAGCAAATAAATATAAATATATAAGTTTACAGAACTAACCTCATACAGCTGCTGCTCCTGCCGCGCCACGTACTGTATCTTTTTGGGTACGATTTGCAGCTCCCGCGCCATGTCGAACGACGCCAGGATGAACTGCTGCAGTAACTTGTTGTGAATCTAAAACAATACATTCTAAATTGATAAACAATTACAATTTTTTACTGAACGCCATATGGCAGTAATTTTTTTAATAGTAGGTCACTCGCTTGGAAAACCAATGGAAGCGGTTCAAACCCCGGGTGTTACAAAACTTTTACTCTTATGTGCTAATCATTTTATTAAAACTACATACTTGCATATCTGATAAAATCTAGCTTGTTTTCGAAACAGCGTGGTATACTATTACCTGATAGGATACACATTAAAGAAAAACCCATGCCCATCATATTAAACACAATATTTTTCAAAGTTGTTCAGTTACATAAATACATACACAACGCACACACATACACACACACACGCGCGCGCGCTCGCACACACACACACACACACACACACACACACAAACACGCACACACAAATTATCGCAATTATAATAATGTTATTCTGATTATTAGACACATACCTCACTCAGTCTTTTACATTGATCCAACAGATAACTTTGCGAGCACTCCGTAGCGAACTTCAGCACGATATTCAACAGGACACTCCGACTCTTCACCGTTCTATCACTATCTGTGTCTTTCTTCTTCTTATGTTCTGTATCTCTTTCGGAATCCTTCAATATTTGTACATCATCCACAATCGACCATTGACTCTTTACGTGATGTTTTTGCGGCGGACTCGCTGTAAAGGATATGTTAAATATAAAAGGTGGACATATAAAAAATAAAATTTAGAGCATTTTTTTTAAATTATATATTAAATGGAGTTATAAAATATATAAAAACCTGAAAGTAATGTCAAAATTTAAGCACAATCTGCCAACATATCGTACGCTATACCATAAAAGTAAACATTTCAGGTAAATTAAAAATTTGCACTTTTTGAATACCTGCTAAGTATGCAATTTTAATAATAATTATAATTTAAAAAATTACGAAATCACAAAAAATATATATGTTCCAGTTTAAGGGTTGAATAGCTATTAGTTTTAACCTATGCTTTAAAAAAAATTAAAAAACAATTACCGAAAGATACACTAAAAATACACATGAAAAACACATGAATTGAGTTCCTTTTTTTATAACGTTAGTAAAAACACAAACAAAACAAAACAATAGCAAATAAATCATACTTATCAACTCCCACTGATCCAACAATTCGTTCATGAACGCAATCTGCTCCTCCTGCCGTCGTCTGTTACCTTTTTGTTCTGTGCTAACATTTCCCCTGTAATGATAAAAAATAATATCATTCACATATATATATATATATATATATATATATATATATATATATATATATATATATATATACATAGTTATATATATTGTAGTTTCATGACAATACAAGAATTTTTTAAATTTAGTCAAAAGTTGTAGAGATTTCAGTATAACGAAAAACATAAAATTCAAACCTACTGATTTTATTTTAAAAACAAAGTTTCATTTCTAAAAAAGTATGTACACATATAGATAAAATACTACTTTATTACAGTAAAATGTACATTCAAAAAAAAATTACAGTCAAAAGTCAATAATAACCCTGTATTAAAAATTGTATTCCAAAATTAGCTGTTTGGACAAATTAGCACTGAGACGACGAAATGACAAAATAAATATGTGACATCGAAGCAATAAGGACGATACTTTTTGCTCAGTTTGAAGTGATCCTACTTGCTGTGCCATCCATCGGTCGCGGGTTCGAGTTCCGCTGGGGGCATTTCATTTGTGTGATGAGCACGAATGTTTGTACTAAAGTCATTGGTTTTTATATTTATAATATGTATGTGTGTGTGTGTGTGTATATATATATATATCTGGTATCCATAACACAAGCCTCGTAGCTTACCATGGAAATAGATGGTGTTTGTGTAAATGTCCCAACATATGTATTTATTTAATAAAAAAAGCAATCTTGATCTAGAAATAGAAGAAAACATACAAGATAAAATCGCAACAAAATCTGGACTGATAGTTTCATTGAATATATGTACCTCAAATCGTTTTTCAACCCTTGGTCAGATTCTGGCAGTTCCTCAGTGTGACATAGCTCAGTGGACTCAGTGGCGTCACTGGAAAAGGGTTGGGGGCTCTTTTGCATTTCACTGTTGGAGAATAGTATGAATAGCACTTGGGAATTGGCATCAATTTCTTTGATTTGGTGCAGGTCGAGACAGTTCTGTGAAAAGATGGATAGCTTTATTCATCATAATAAAATTAGTTGGTAAATATCAAAAATGGTTCGAATATTTTTAATGGAAGCTGGTATTGACAATCTGCCGCCATTTTAATTTTTAATTTATCAAAGTAGCTTAAACACTAAAGACATTTAGAAAAATCTATCTAAATCTTAGACCTATTTAGGATATCCTATATGATGTAGAATTAATACGGACATACACGTACGGATTGCCAACCTTATTTTTCTATTTTTATGTAATTAGATTACATGATTGTCCTACAGTATAACTTACCTAACAAAGAGCTCCAATAGTCTTGGAGTAAAATAGCTGTGACATTCAAACAGACCTACATGACGAAATTTTAAGGGTTCCATATTAGCCTTTTGGTTACGAAACCCTAATAAAAATAGTGTGACACCCACTCAATCTTGCGACGTTCAAAACATGAGCAGATGGCATACAGGTTTTGCTAAAAAAATACTTCAAAAAAATTTACCTCCGAACTGATAACTGGCGGTTCACAACTCTCCTTCCAATCATCATTTCCATCTTTATCTCTCCTTTCATTCTCATCTCCTTCTCTTTCTTTGTACAAATCAAGAGTCGACCAAAACTCACTAGAGGATGTGACTTTAGAAATTTTATCACCAAAAATATTTCGTCCGTACTTATTTAAAGCGAACAAATAAATTGGTGTGAAGTTTTGCAAAATGGCAGATTTTTTGGAATATAATTCGGAATGTAATCTTTTTAAGGATACATAATTTCCTGACTCAGATTCGCTTATGTCTGGTGGTACGATTATTTTTAGACCGTCTTTTAGAAAGGAGTTGTTAAGTTCGATTTCGAGTGTAGTTCCTAGATCTGTTTCTTGTCGGAGGACATCCTGAAAAAGATAAATAAGTAAAAGTGATTAATCTTTCTTAGATTTATGCGAATATTTTGGCATTTAAACTTTTTTTTCGACAAGAAATTTTCCGACGTTACGAAAGCTTTACAGCAAACATCGTCAGGGAAAATACTAAGGTGTTTGACATTACAAATGTTGTAGGTATTGCATAAACTGCCACCAACTATACCGTCAAAATTATACAACAATTTATAAGAAAAGGGAAATTTCATCGTAGTGTATAATTTCTAATAAAGGTTCTTATTAATAAGGTATTTACAATCTTTTATATAACAAGTTATTCTCATCATTTTTAAAGTATAACTATAGTATTGCAAGACATTAAGTACTCCCATTATTTTGAAGTCATAAATCAAACAATCCGCTAAAACATAAAAGCAAGCCAATACAAAATTCAGAGTAAAGCCACGTAGTTACCTGTAACGGTAATGTGTCCCACGGTTGTCGGTTGCACTCCAGCTCCTCGACGAGCTCGAACTCGGAGTTCCCTACAGTTAAGTGCACTTGCGTCGACACGCCATATTGTATTCGGATCTGGAAATGCAGAATTTACATCCAAAACATAATAACAGGGAGTGAAATTATATATTGATATATAAAAATATAGACATACATTTCCTAACAAATATCTCTTCAAAAAGTTTCATCGACATATTGTGACGTTAAGTCAAACCAAAGAAGAAAATTCAATAATCGCTAATTCTAATTATTTAAATACAAATACTAACTTACACATACCACTTAAAGTACTTTTTTAAACAAAACAACGTGCGCTTTGATTTTGTCATCCGAAAAGCAATAAACAAAAGAAATTTGGAAAAATGGTGACAATTTCGAATGGTGTACTCCTTTTGAGGACACTTTTGAGACGCTAAATGTGTAACTTGAGTTATTGTATATCAATGATTGGATATATATTTTTATGCCTCAATGTGATTTATTTGAAGCAACGCTCTATTTGAGCAATTTTACAAACACTGTTGAACCATCATCAAATTTTCGAAAACATTTTACTCAGCATTCAATTTTTATAAGTTTTAACTGAACTTTACTCTAGTACCAATTACGAAAGAAAAAGCTTCGGTCCTGAGAAGAACTGGTGAAATAAACTCGGATGGACTAAAATATTTTTTATATTTTAAATAAAACTATCTTCCGGATTTTTTGTGGATTTATTTTGATTTTTAGTTCCCGACGTTTTGAATGCTTTACAAGAATCATGGTCACGGGAGAGACTGAGATTTTAGACTTCTCAAAGGTCGTTTCATATAGTTGTTTCAGAAACGTCGGCCAAATATTCGCGTAAATCTAAGAAAGTATTATATTTTTTGTAAGTAAAAATATAAATACAATATTCTACAACTTGAAGTAACCTGAAGGCGATCACATCATTCCCAATCAGTGAATCAATGGATATATTAAAAGTAAATGTCAGTATTTTAAGTCCATGAAGAAGCCTTCTTCATCTAATCTAAATTAAATTATCTAAAGTATTAGCATTATTCTAATGTCTTGTGAATGCACAGACGACTTTTTAACGCACTGTCGACACGTGCTTGTCACGCGTCTTTATTTATACGAACGCAAGTAATCTGCATTATTACATTGCATAATTTACATTTCCAACATGATTACCATTTGTCTCACGGTGAAAAAAAAAAACATCGCGAAGATACCTGCATGTCTGAGACAACCTAGCAAGTTTTCGAATGACATACAATACAGCCAACCCGCACTTGGCTAGTATCGTGGACTATGATCAGATTCCCCTCATAACGATGGGAGGCCCCTGCCCAGTAGTGAGGTGGGTTAGGTTAGCAAAGGGCTAAATACATACACAATTTACGTTATATTTGTCATCGCCGAATATGGTTATTAAACATCTGGCATCTTGTCACATGGTTTACAGGAACATAATATGTCCCATGAATTAAATTACATCTACCCACTTTTGCATGCATGGCAATCGCAATAGCAGATATTATGGCCCTTAAAAGAACTTCAAAAATAAGGAAAAAGTAATTTAAAAAAAAAATATGCTTATATATGCTGTGGACGTAATTTTGATTCCTTAATTCAACATTCAACACAATCTGGACTGGAGATAAGTGTTCCTTTATCTACTACATTTTCGTTATGTAATCTTGATTACCATAACAAGTACAATTGCATTATCACAGCAATATATAAAGGCAAAAGTTTATGATAGATATTTTTTTATAATTAGATAACTTCTTCACGCGAACAGTTCATGGAAATTAAGTGAAATTCAGAATGTAGATAACATTCTGATTCACAATTTTTTGAACAGTCACTCTTTTGGTGTTCATATTCTAAATAATATATGGTTCGGTGGTCTAGTGACTAGCATGTACAGATCCGGAGGTCTGTTTTGGCCGTCGTGGTCGGGAGGGCAAAAATAAGTAATAGTTTACGTCGACGTATATACCACACGAGCGGAGCCGCAGGAAAAAATTAGCAACAAATACATATTTACCCATCTACAACCCTTCGGTAAAAACTCCGGTAACAGATTTCTTCCTAGAATACAGTTTAAAAGCCGAGCTCGTGCAGACGGAGAACTACCAAGTATAACCAGAGCCGTCGGTCGACAACACTGACTTGTTATTTCTTGTACAATTTGTGGAACATCGGAATCTGGAATGAAAAATAAATGGGTCTTAAATATATTCTAAGGATTAGACTTTAAAAGAGTAATCAGACTATTAATATAAATGCGAAAGTTTGTGCATGTTACATTTATAACTCCTTCATGTTAAAAGAACTGGACGGATTTGGATGAAACTTAGTAAACAAGTACAGACCTAAAATAGCACATAGGCATAATCTAAGGCGCCTAGGGACGCACAAAAGCCAAGCGAGAGTAATTCACTACTTGTTCCCCATTTCTCTTAAGCAATTAATGCATAAGACATGGTGAGACCATCTTAAGTTTTTCCCGAAATCTCACAAAATTGTATAGAGATTTAGATAATTTTCAAAACATGGTGCCATAAGCACCTTGCCTATACAGTAAGAAGAACCAGAAATCATAACCAAAAAGGCACATTAAAGTAATTTCCCATGTGACCATACCAACAGTGAGTATCTCCTGCACGTCTTGAAGCGCGCGCGCAGTGTCACGCAGCAGCAGGCGCAGAGTGCGCACGCGCGATGCACTGCGTTTCCAAGCACCGCCCGCCATACGCGCCCATGTGCTGTCTAACAAAGAAAAAACACAATGTTATTGTCAATATAGGTATGTATGTATTCAGCCCTTTTTAACGTCCCACTGTTGGGCACGGGCCTACTTTCAATACGAGGGGAATCAAGCCATTTTCCTTCGACCTTCACCGTGAGACAAGTGGTAATCAAGTTAGAAATGATTCGCACATGCAAATATCAGAGGTGCGAGACGCGGGATTTGAACCCGCTTCACTCGGTTTCCCAAGCAAGCGCATTAGCACTAGGATACCACTGTCTTGTATGTATATACATACATAAACGATACAAATGAAATTGAAGTGTCTGTAATTTCAAAATAACAGCTTTTTACTAAATACTAAATACATATAAATATAATACTAAATACATATAAAAGTACATACGGTACTTACTTGTAAGAAAAACCCAATTTTTACAATTTTGTCTGTCTGTTTGTCTGTTTTTTACGGCATATCTCGGAAACGGCTTATATGAAGTTATGTTATGAATTAGTTATGAAGAGAAATTCTACATTTACCTACGTCAAAAATATAGTAAATTTTCAATCGAATGTTTTTGATACTACCTACTTTTTTAGAATATTTTTGACTTCAAAAAGTTTGTATGTTTTATATACCTACGTATTTTACACAAATATAATTCGGACAAGAAAATAAATATCGTATATTGTAAAAATATCAACCACACAGTACAATAAAAGTAATTACGCTTTGACTTTAAGTATAGGTACCTACATCTAGAGGCAAATTGATATCGGTTTTATGAACCAACTTACATCTCGTTGTAGGCAATCATTCTATTTACGATAATTCTATAAGAATTTCGTAGAATTTGCCTTAAAGAAATTTAGAATATACTAAATTATATAAAGAGATATCTCTACGATCATCCATCCATATAAACATCAAACCCATGACCCATGTCGAAGCAATCTCAAGAGTGGACACTAAGCTATTACGCTATTCGTCCCTCACACAATGATACTCAATGTGAGTGCATTCAGAGTGCTTTTGTGAAATTTCACTTATTCTCTTCCAACTCAATATTTATATATAAGGCTTCGCTCGCGCTAAAACTACAACAAAAACTCTAAAAAGGTAGGTTACATACAAACTTTCATGCCCTATTTTACCCCCTTATAGGATAAATTTTGAAAAATGTTAAAACACGTATTCATTTAATTGTATTTAAAAACATTAAATAACAAGTTTCAAGTAATTCTGATCACATATATTTTTTGGGTTGTATTATAACGTTTTTCTCGTGAGAATGAGATAATCTGCCACAGTAAAAAGTAGCCCATGCTCTCCAGGCCTCCAACTATCTCCACACAAAAAATCACGCCAATCCGACATTCCATTTCGATGTGAAAGAAGGACAAACAAACAAACAAATAAACAAACAAACTCTTTCACATTTATAATATTAGTATGGATATATATTTTTATTTAAAACTACACCTTCGGAAAACATTGTAACTTATCGGTAAGATAATTATTATTAATAATGACATAATTTATAATTAATGCAATTTGTTAATAAAAGTAATCTATATACTAATATTATAAAGAGGAAAGATTTTTGTTTGTTTGTTTGTACCGAATAAGCTCCGAAACTACTGAACCGATTTAGATGAAATTTGGTTAAAAGGTAGTTTGACACCCTGGGAAAGGCATAGGATTTTTATCCCGCAAATCATCCATTAAGGGGTGAAAATGTGGATGAAAGTTTGTATGGAGAATCAACCTAGGGGCGAAACCGAGCGAAGAGAGGGTGAGTCGCTAGTTTGTGAATAAAGTTAAAAGAAATAATTCAGCACTTTTAACGTCCCACTACTGGGTATAAATCTTCTTTTAATGCAAAGGGCTCAGATCATAGTCCACCATTTTGTCTGAGTGCTGATTGGTTTCTACTTTCTTAATGAATTTAAATAAAAAAATAAATATCGCTACAAATGTTACAATACAACGTTGTTCCTTGCAAGTGTGGTGAAAGTAAAAAACTTTCGATAAACAAAATTAAAATAATATAAGAATAAGCGACGACAAAAACATAAACGTTTCAAAAATCACAGCAGATTGAAATGATGCCATCTCATGACTTCAAATGAAGCGGTAGGTACGGCCGATTTAAAATTTCAAAATACACGCTGATATTATTATGGTTATTTTTATGGTTTTTCAAAAGCCATAATAAACTATAATCAAATAAGTAGGTATGCAACTAGGTATTTTTAAAATACCTAAAAATAGAAGTTTGATAAAAATCTGCTAAAGGAAGGTTTTTATTTCTAGACTATAAAAAATATATTTCTATAGGTACCTACACCTACCATTGCCAAAGTTAAAAGAAAAAAACTAAAACATGAAACAAAAAGTGAAAATTAAAAATAAATTTATAACTCGTCCGTCCACCTTTCTCGAGAGAGGGAAGCGACTAAACAAATAAACGATAAAAAATTTAAAACGATCTGATATAATTCTCAAAATAAAATTCAATTACTATTTAAAGTTTAAAAAATTTTTAATCTTTGCAACATTAAGTGTGTCTACTTAAAACTTTTTCCTTTATTTATGAAGAAAAATCCACTATCCTAGTTTAATCTCAGACTTAGAAATAATAAACATATAAACATAGTGTCATAGAAATAAATATAAAGCCAAACAAACAAACACAATAATGTTCTAAAATAGTATACAAACAAATGACAATTTGTATACTACATAAGTGATGTGCAAATAAATAAAAATAGCTAACAGATTTTAATACATAATATAATCTATACTAATATTATAAAGAGGGAAAATTTGTGAGTTTGTGACGCTGTAGTGGGTAATTTCTGGATCTTCAAAACCGATTTAGATAAAATTTGGTAAGAAGATAGTTTGAGGGAAGGTGTGGGGGTGGTTGATAGACATAGATTTTTTTTTTATTTACAGCTTTTTAGTTTTTGCCAATTAGACATTTGAAGTTATATTTAGCAATTTTCTATCCTAAATTACTTTTATACATATAAGTTGTATATATTTTTGTTTGGCGTCTGAAATATATTAATTTTTAACTATTTTTATATAGCCTATGACGATACCGTTATCAAGCCGAATCTGACAACGTATGAATCGTCAAGATCGGCCCGCGCATTTGGTCTCTAGATACAGGATTCAGGAACAAACATACGTACATAGACTGATAAACACATTACCTTTCTTTGTGTCGCGCAGTCGGGTAAAAAGAGATAGTTATACGGCAAGCTATGCAATACTACAGATGATACAATACTATACTAGTACAGAGTATAAGCACCATGGCAGCCATAAATTGGCATATTGTTTGGGCTATTTTTGTTTTCTTAAATAGACGATAGATGGCGGAGATCCACAAACTGTCAACCTGTTGTAGTCTATAAATACAATAGTAAAAAAGTCAATTTTGCATTTAATAAAACCAACAGTACTTTAGCCTTTTTTAAATGTGAAACAAAAAACAAAAAAAATATGAACGTCGTCATCTATGAACAAAATCATTAAATAATCGATGATTTTTTAAAATAATCTCTAAAACCATAGAAATTTCATTAAATCATCATTATTTCATGTTTCTTTACTTAATTTGACATTAAATATTTGAAATAATTTTACTTTGTTCCTAATTAATCCCATAACTATATAAACGTCTATTTGAATTTTACAAGAACGTATGAAGATCGTACCAGATATATGGTGAGGCAACGTAATGCAGCAGTCGAGAAATATAATATCAGTATTGAATATCTTCTATCTGCGTTTTAATGAACTTATTATCCAATATCCATACCAATATTAAAAAATGCGAAAGTAAAGTTTTCACGCTTAAACCACTGAACCAATTTTGAGAAATTTTAGTAAGTATAGAGATAGACTACTTTTTGTCGCACAAATGAAATTTAAAGGGGGTGAAATTGGCGTTAAAATTTGTATTGAGATCAAATCATTTCTCAATACATAAAAAGTCCTTATATCCTGCAGTTTTGTTAAGAACTAAAGAATGCTTCGGCGTTTTTGACCTATCGTGCTTGAGACAAACCTTATATATGTACAATGTACACACATATATATATATATATATATATATATATATATATATATATATATATATATATATATATATATATATATATATAGTCAATTCTATACTAACCGTTGAAACGTACTAGGAACGCACCCGAGCGAAGCAAGTCGCCAGTATGTATAATAAAATATACTCGTACACGGTTGTACATTGAAAATGGTTGTTGAATTTATACCTATTTAGGATAGAGGTATAACTCAAGAAAGTTATGTTAGTTCGTAACTGTACCTTATCGATGGACCTAACCTAACCTAACCTAACTCATAACTGTTATCGTTAAGGACTTTATGTTCAGCAAAAAACATTACGACGCGGATTTCCAAGATGCACAGAGTATAATTAGTACTTGAGCAGAGTAATGAATGGATAATTTTTCATTATAATATTATTTACAGCAAGACTTTTTCATAGCACACACGACATTGACGATACGTTTGGCTTAGTTTGTAGTGATCCTACTTGCTGTGCCAGTGGTCGCGGGTTCGAGTCCCGCGGGGGGCATTCATTTGTGTGATGAGCACAAATGTTTGTACTCCAGTCATAATATGTATGTATTTGAAGCTATATATGTGTAGTACTATGTTATCCATAACACAAGCCTCGTAGCTTATCATGGAATTAGATGGCGCCGTGTGTTAATGTCCCAACATATTTATTTATCTCACATGAGGAAATATTTTATAAGCCAATATTTTAGAGCAAGTTGAATATTTAGAAAGCTAATAAACTAACTTCAACTGCTGTAACTTGATATAAATGCTTGTGCACTTTCATATATTTATTGCATTCTTATCGCCACTACAATAAAATGGTACAATAGAGGGTCACAGTAGTTCTTTGATTGCATACAATAACTACTTCAAACGATAAAATACGTTTATTTTATTAGA